TAAGATAGTTTTTAAGCTCTGAAAGGCCCCTCCGGGGAGAGTTTAATAAATTATTGTATTGTATTGTACGAGAACTATTGAATCAGAAGAGAGAATGATATCAAAGGCTACCGTGTTAAAGTGTTAAATTCGTGAACCCAGCTAATTTAGTGAGCAGCACGAGGTTTTTAAAAGTCAATTCCTGTTTTGAGCATAATCAAATCAGCTGGGTTAAAAAAATGGCAAATCAAGTTGGTAAGTCTTTGACGTCGCTTTCGAACGGTGGACAGGTAAATCATGGCTAGGGAATGGCAAGGCGAGTAAATAAGCAAAATAAAGCCAGAATGGAGTGAGTTCAAAGATGCTAATTTTCCTTCAATGGAATATGTGTACTTTAGAAATAATACTGTTATGGCGAGTGAAAGAGTCCATCCGAGGTAATCAGTGGTAAGTACTAAAACTAACCTTTATGGTCCCCAAAAGAGTTTCTTTAGTGTCAAGAACATCACATTCAACACCAGACTCTGCGGTAGAGCAAATCCAAGGTGACCACTCAAAATTTAGGATCGTACACTGCTGCACAGTCTCGCCCAGTGCACTACAAACGTGGAAATTGAAGTCAGGTCCACCAGGTAAACCAATCAAGGTCATTCCAGGTCTGATATGTGGTTTAAGGGCATTCAGATAGTCATCTAAATAATGTTCATGGGCAAACTCGGGAAAGACCACGAAATCGATATCTCGGATGGCTTCATCTGGGTTCGTTGTAATTAATGCTGGTTTCGATTTGATAGACGTTGGCTCTAGTCCCTCGCGATGCCACTTAAATAGAAGACTCTTGGTCTGCATTACCGAACTACAACGTTTTGCTTCATCTTGATTCAAAGTAAGCACACGAACTTCAGTTCCCTTCCGAGAGGACGCTATGCCACCAAATGCGTGCGCACCACTCCCTCCACCACAAATCAACAACTTTATGGTCTCAGCTTGGGTCTCACCACGACTATTCTGTTAATTGAATTGCAAATGATGTAAAAAAATCACTACATATTAAATTTCACCAGTATCGAATAGCCGTCATTGACTTTCTACGTTCTTACTGTTGACCGCTCAATTATCACATAAAGCGTAAAAGAGTTCAAAATTACCCCACAAGCATTAAGGTTACTATCAACAAATTAGGGTGACCTCTAAAAAAAGGAACAAAATTTTGACAGTTTTCCTTTTGGTAGGCACGCGCAAGCCTTTAAAGATAAGACTAAGGGTGTTCGTTTCAATGAATTTACCAGCCTTCGTGTTACCGCGGAAATCCAAACAAACTGGACTTCATTACTCGGCAGATTATAGGCTAAACAACGATGTGAGGCTTTTTCGATTTTCCTTTTGCTTCCTGAGATAATCAATTTTGAAGTTGGACAATAAAAAATATTTCGGTTGTCACGCGCCGGGAAGTCGCAAGAAAACTATTTCGAATTTTCTAAAAGCCTTACACGGTTTTGTGTATTAATATCTTACGAATAGTCTAGCCAAATTTCATCAAAAATCGGACAAAACTGCATACTCTATTAACAAAAAAATATGATCCTGCTCCACCAACAGTTGCACCAGTTGCCGCAATAGCAGCATTTCCTGCCAATCCTATGCCAGCAGCCCCCGCACTCTGCAGAAGCGAGAAAAATCCCCCTGTAAATCCTCCGTAAATTGCAGACTGCGCAGCCGCTGCTACGGAGCCAGCAGCAACACCTCCAGTAGTAAAACCAGCCACACCAAGAACTACAGGAGCAGCTGCCACTGCTACAGCACCAGTTATTAAAGCACCACCTGTGACTGCACCTACACGGCCCCAGTTGACACCATCTGAAAAAGAAGATCAAAAAGCACGAACTATACTTTTCACATCAGCTAGGTATTTAACAAAACTAGTCAAACTGACTTAATTTATGAGAAAAAAAAAAAAACATCCATACGCACAAATCAACAAAAGTCGTTATCAATATTGTGTAACGGTCACATAGGAAAAGATCATGAGAGAAAGTTTGTGGAAATCTGCCTTTTCAGAAAAAAACTTTTACAACTTTTCCTAACTCTGTAATAATTAAGTGCTTAAAATCAGACCCTGCACCTGCCGGAGCTCTGGCGGGTATTCTGTTGGGAATCGCCGGGCATACTTTTCCGCGTCCCAGTCGAATTTACAGAGCGAAAGAAAAAAAAAAAGAACCGAAACACAAATACCATCGTGAATAATATGCACTTTAGTATTGGAGTATATACCTTGTCTTTTTTTTTTTCTTTTTTTTTCAAATTCCGTGGTCTTTGTTTGTTAGATTCATTCATTTACTGACAGTTTTCCTTTTTCTGCTTGTTCCGCGTGTTCTGCACAAATTCATCACACGCGAAGTAGAAGTACACATCGTCCATTACTTAAAATAAACTCCAAACTTTGTTTTTAATAAAATTATCAAAAATTTTATTCTCAACAGCTCGTTAGAAGTCAAACTTGAAGATCTAAAACCGTGCGCTTGTAGCGCGTAAATCAAATTTGCATAAAAAGGCTTCACCGAGGCTTAGAGCGTCCTAAATTTTATTAAAAAGAAAGAAAAACCCGTGAAAGCGAAGACAATGTTCTTATGGTTATAGGTTAGCCAGTACACGAGTAAGCAAATGATCGTGAAGCTTTGTTTGCGATTTGATGTGAAACACTAGCCGTGGGATTGGCTGATCTTATAGAAACATTAGCGGATGAATGGAACAATTCGGGGGTTTTACTAGTCAGCAGTTTGTTTTAAAACGCGCAAAAACTAACCTTTGATAAAGAAAAAATTGAATGAAAGATTGTTCATCTCTTTGATTGCGCTCTCAAATGGTTGCCGACCACTTTGTTGATTTCTTTCTGGCAGGCTCATTTTTCACCTTCTCCGAAACATATAATTGAGGTCGAACCCGAAAAATGTTCCTCAGGTCACTGAAAACTACGCCAAAAGCTCACTATTGTGTTGAATTTCTTTTGAACCGTTGAAGATTTTTCGAGCGATGAGAAAAATCCCTTTCGCTGTGGAAGCTATCAGCTCTGTTCGTGTAATTGACAGAAATCCGTCGTTCAGAAAAACTTGCAGAGAAAGATCTTTACAACCCCTGGTATTAGTTAGCAAACACATCCGTGTGAAATTATTAAAAGATTTTAACCTGGCACGTGACATTTTCGTTGGTTATATTTTGATTAGAGTTTGTACACCCAGGACACAAAAATATTTGTAAAAATCGTGAACATTTTTATCCCACTTAACACGATCAAAAACCAAGCCTTCTGTAATCATCTATGACACTTTCTGTTGAAAGGCGAGCTATCCGAAAAATTTAATATGTACCAGAGAATGGAATTGCTCAAGAAAACTAATTTACCAGTTCGTCAATGTGCCAAATTAAGACTATCGTAGAAAGAAATGATGTCCTTTTTGGCAATTGAAGCATGTCAGCTTCTTCTCCAGAATGCAAGAATATGCAACTCTATGACTTAATAATTTCAAAATTTTACAGGAATGGTAGGTGGTAAGGCCCTTTAGGCCTTGCATTAAGTATGCCCAAGCTGCAAATAGTTTTAATTTGGAGTGTATGAGGGAGGGGTGCCTAATTGAGAGAGGAGGCTTACCGCAAACTAAAAGTTCTCGACAAGGAGGGAGGATTCTTGAAGAGGGGGGCTTTATAAAACACCAACCAGCTTTTCTGTATCTACCTGAATAAAGGCTGATAGTTTCTAAAGAAACTGTTTGGGGCTGCGTCGGTGGGGGTAACGAAATAATTTGAGTATATCAATAAAGTTGAAATGGTAAATTGGCCACCGTTACGATTATAAAAGCTGACGTTTCAAGCGTTAGCCCTTCGTCGGAGCGAATAGAGGAACTGTGGGCTGTGTGTGCTTTTAAAAGCAGAAAAAGGAGCTACGTGGGTGCCATGAGCCGCACAGAAAAAAAAAAAACAAAGAAGAAATGCAACAGAAAACCAACAATGGACCAGCATCCCATTTAAGGTAGTAATAGCATTCCTAGTTGCTTCAAGCTGTAGAAAAGAAAGAGTTTACATACGGGGACTTAACCAGCAACTGCTTCTAAAAGCAACTAAAATCAAATTTTACCTTCATTAGGTGGAGTAGTGTTTCCTGCTGGATCCCCCTGACTGTTGGACGAGGTGGCCTGGGTAGGTGGGTCCTAGCAAAACAAGGCAACGGTATTTGTAACACTTTGCTAAAACTGAGTAAAGCATAAACCAAGCTGTGGACATTACCTGCATAATCAACATGGAAACAGTTTTCTGCGAGCAAAGCTTGAGTGAAACTGAGACCTTCAAGAAACAGATAATGTCCAAGGACAAATATTCGAGCATGCTTTTGTGCCAAATCTGTTGGGCTTGTTATCCTTCAAACATTTTTGCATTGTTAATTTCATAAAAAGGGATGTCCTTGTTCATTGGGGTAAATTACAATAATAATAAATTATTATCGTTTGTCTCAAGATATGGTCAGTTATGATGTAAATCATGACATTTTGACTGCAAACTGCTAGTCTTTATCAGGCACACTTGCAGGGTCAAAGAGGCTTAATTCACGACTTCACCCTAACAACATCAACTGGGACAGTGGAATAGAAATTCCTGAAGCGTGGATGCCTATGCTCAAAAAACAGAACTGGAGAGCTGTGACAGGGGACCACCAAGGGAACAACTCACTAACATCAACTGAGGATCAAAATGCACCAATCACAGTGTTGGAAAACCAACCAACAGCAGAGCATCCTGCATTATACGAAGACCCGAAACCAGTCAACCTCATCACCTG